CATCTGCTTCTAGCAAGACGTCATTTGCATCTCACAAGAGGGAAAGGTTGGGTATTTTGGAAACCGATGGATCGACACTCTGTTTTGGGGTTAATTGTTTTTCAATGATGCTTCTACCGTTACTAACCCTGGCTCTCGTTCTATTTGACCATGGTATTTTTATCTGAAGTTTTTGTAACCGAATATGATTGAATAACCTACATGAGATAATCTATTGTTTTTTTTTTTTTTCTGAACGCCATTTCACTCGCTGAGAAAAGCCAAACATACGCTGCTCTCGAGCAAGCTGAGGCACCGGTGTGAAGTTAATGTGATAATAATACTCAATTTGATTGTTAAAAGACCAATTAGCTTATACATTCAAGTTGGTATGTTCTTGGAACTATGTTTTCGTTTTTTACTAATTTTTTTCTATATTTAAAATTTAATTTTCTTTAATTGTTCTCTCGTTTTTTTTTTTTATTGGATGGTGTCTCTTTGGAAAGAATATGTGTTTGCTAATGGTCTATTCTTTTCTGGGTTGGTGTGTGTTGTTTTCATTTTTCTTTCACTTTATTGTTTTGTTGCTTTTTGCAGGCGCGAAGAGTTGCCGGCTGAACGCTTAGGAGGAGTTTGGGTTTTTTGGTTGTCTCTCTTTATTAGTGTTTAAATATAGTTTGCATGTATGTCTTTGGTCCCGTACTCTCTCGATCCGTGAGTGGAGTGCCTTGGGTAGACGTTTGAAAGTCTACATTCATCAAAATAGACCTAAAAAGGTGATGGTCACCATTGTCGACGGAGACGCCTTCTCCTAATGAATCTGGAGTGACTCTGTTTAGAGGATGGTGTGCCATGGAGGTAATGGCTTGACTCTTCTATGATTGATCGGGTGGCAGATCTGCGTACCTCTGATTTGCCACTGTTTGAGGCGCAGTTTTTTGATTCTCCTTCTATCGGTAGTTAAAAATGTCGGGTGGTATGCAGTTTATTAATGCTGCAGACGCCGACGAAGACAATGAGTGGGTCGATGGGGTTGCAGATGTCGTCAGACCAGAATCTAAAAAAAAAAAAATTGATCTCTCCAAATGGATCCCAAGACTCCAGAATGGGTGAAATTTGAGTCCTGGAGGTGGATGTTCGGGGTGATGTTGATTATTGGAGACAAACATCTTTACAGGTATAGGAAACTTTTGAGTCTTTTTATGATTGAATGGAGTTAACTCAGGTCGTGGCGAATCCGCCCCCACCATTTATGTTGCGCATTGACGCAAAAGTGTTGACTAATTTTCGTTCCGTTTTATTATTGGATGAGAACCCATCAGTGTCAAAGGCGCTCGTACAATCACGACTCTATAAGGTCTCGGGTGAGGCTAAAGTTTTTGCAAAGGTATAAGAGTCTCTAGTTGAGAAGGATACTGTCCAGGAACACAATAAAGAAGACTCGAAGATGGATGGACACGTTCAAGCTTTTTTAAAAATTTACTGCATTGGGAAAAAAAAATTCGTAACTGCTAATGTTTCTTTTTTTTTTGTGGAAATTATCTTTACTGGGCGTTTGGAAAAATTGATTTTATGATATTATTACTGCAAAGCCTTCCACTGCTCATTGATGTATGTGTGGGCGCATTAGTGGTTTGCAATAATAGCAGGGATGATTGGCGACAATATTTTTCCCTTTTTTATTATTATTTGGGGATTATTCAATTTTTTTTTTTTTTAACTTTGGAGGCAAGACCACTGAGAAGACAGGTGTGCGTGTGGCTAATATTTCATGTGTTGGCTGCAAGTTTACTCCTGCTGCTGGTGTGTCTTGGTAGCCCATACTCTTTTCTATCTTGTTGTTGTTCTTGAAACTGAGGTGATGATGTTGCTGAGAGTATTGCCGTTAATGTGTATGCCACTCTCCACGTCACCTTACTTGTTTTTTTTTTCTCTTTCCCTTGTTCTGCTCTTCTCTCCTCTCCTGTGCTGTACATTGGCAAAGCAAAACACACACGAGTAAGCAACCATTAAATCTCACATGCATCGGTTATTGTGCTCTGCACTACTGCTGTTCCTCCTCTGCTGTGCCTACGGGTGCGCTGCTGCTGCCGTTGTGAAGCCGCTACCGGAGAAAGGACAGGGCCCTTGGGACGCGTACACCGTCGCTGTTGCTCCGGGGAAACAAAAGGATCCGAAGGATCCGAAAACTCAGAAGAATACTCGGTCTCCTGTTGCGAAGATTCAGAAGGATGCTGTCGGTTGGGGACCACTTCGTATTCATGTGATTCCACGAGGTGTTGCCATATGGAAACAGTACTGTGAACGGAATCAGAATACCGAACACCCTTTTGGTGATCGTAAGACGTTTAATCTTGACAGAGATGCCTTCTGTAACCGAAAAACTGGAATAACACCGGAAAAAGCACTTAATATGTACAAGGTTGCTGCTTATGCGGTCTATCTACACCATACCCGCCTCTCCGTAAAACGTGTAATAGGAAACTTGACCTTGGATAAGAACGGTGGGAAAGATTTTAAAGAGAAATGCCCAGATGCCTTTGCTCGTTCTGAACATCTCTCCATGGGTATCGCAAATACTGATTTCGCGCTGTTTGTAAGTCTTACAAGATCGTACGAGGATCCCCGGATTTGCTCCAAAGGTGAAGATAAGCGTCCGATATCTGGTTTGATAAAATTGAATCCGAATGGTTTTAAGGACGCGAGACACTACATCCGTGTGACTGCACATGAAATTGGTCATGTACTTGGTTTTTACCTTGAAGAGTTCAAAGAGAATAATTTATTCCATGAGTACACAAAATACGGGAAGACTATGGGATCCTTGAAGACAGAAACTCTGACGGAGAAAGCGAAAACGCATTACGGCTGTCAAATTATTAATACCATGGAGTTGGAGTCTTACAAGGATAAAAACGATCTTTCTTGGAAGACATACCCACACTGGAGTCGACGTATTGCAAAGGATGACCTGATGAGTGCATACTTTGACAGGCCTTCCGGCATGTACTACACGGCACTGACACTTGCTGTTTTTGATTCTATGCCGTTCTACAGAGCCAATTTCAGCAGAGCAGAACCGATGACATGGGGCCGGAATGCCGGTTGTGGATTCCTTCACGAGAAATGCGTAGAAAGATATTCTCCAAAATTCTCTGACATGTTCTGTAATGAGCAAACTTCAGTCCTGCGTTGCACCACTGATCGCCTTTCCCTTGGGAAGTGCTCGATGAAAGAGCTTGAAAGTATTCCCGAAGAATTCCAATACTTTCGTAACAAGCGACATGGTTCCCCCTACGAGGACCGGATGGACTACTGTCCTGTCATTGAACCCACTTTTGAAACATCCTGTGAACTTGGTGATGAAAATAAAATGCCTGGTAGTATTGTGAGCAATACGTCACGGTGCCTAAAGGTAAAATCGCTGCATCTGGTTAAAAAGAAGGATAACGGTAAGGTCGAAGACATTTGTGCGAAGGTAAAGTGTGAGAACGGTATCTTGAAGGTGCGGTATAAGGGCAACAAGAAGTGGCACGAGTGCACCGATGAGGGTTTCATTGACATTGAGAAAGGTCCAGTGTTTGTTGGTGGAAGGATCGTGTGTCCCAAGTACACCGATTTCTGTAGGAGTGAGTCAGGGCCAAAGCCAAAGCCAAAGCGAAGAAAGACTCGTTCTGTCAGCACCGTCAATAATCCCTCAGCTGCTGCAACGCCTCTGCAGACGAATTCTCAGAGTAGTACAGCAGAAGCCCATGAGGGGAACCAGGGGCATGACGTACCTAAAGCAGAGAGGCAGCACGGTGGCCCAGAAGTGTCAGCAACTGGAGTGAATGTGGAACAGCAAGTGCAGACGGAATTTCAGAGCACAGCAATGGGAGACCTTGAGGAGCAGTATCTGCAGGAAAACGAGGAAGAAGAGGAAGAAGTATCAGAGAATGATGAAGAGATGGTGTTCCTGGGACTCGAGGAACATGGTGGCAGTGATGACAAGTCGGGTGTGGAAACTGTTTTTGAAGGTTTCAATACTGATGAGTATACGAAGAACGATGTACAACTCATCCTCGAAGAACTGGTTAATGGCACAATGAACTCCAAAAGCGGCGATGTTGATTCCACGGATTCACAAGGTAAGCAGGGGGGAAGAAAAAGACGTTTTCTCTCTCATGTGTATGGCACCGACAACACATCCTCAGGGGCTCGTATCATTGCTGGAATGACAGCGAATGGCCACATCATTCTTGGCTCGATCGTGGGTTTAACTGAAGATGAGGTGACACAGGTGCTGAATAATGCGCGGGCCATGGAGGATAAGAGCATTTATAGCAGCATCGCGTCCTCATACATTGCTCCTCTTACACTTCTTGTGTGTGTTGTTGCTGCTGCTCTTGTGGCCCCGTGAACTCCACACATTCCCACAGATGCAAGCTGTTTTGATTTGGACTTCTCTTTGAGAGCATATGCATCGGAGTCAGCAGTTCGTTTTTTTTTTTTTTCTTTTCTTCCTTCTTGTTGCATTGGGATTTTTTTTTTCTTTTTGCTGCTTTGGAAAATATGTTTTTGTAACTGCTAATGTTTTTGGGGTTTTATCTTTACTGAGCGTTTGGGAAAAACTGATTTTATGATATTCTTACTATAAACCTTTCCACTGCTCGTTGTTGTATGTGTAGGCGCGTTAGTGGTTTGCAATGATAGCAGGAAGGATTGGCGACTGTCTTTTTTTTTTGTTTTTTTTTTCTTTTTGCTGCTTTGAAAAATATGTTTTTGTAACTGCTAATGTTTTCGGGGTTTTATCTTTACTGTGCTTTTGGGAAAAAACTGATTTTATGATATTCTTACTATAAGCCTTTCCACTGCTCGTTGTTGTATGTGTAGGCGCATTAGTGATTTGCGATGGCAGCAGGAAGGATTGGCGACAATCTTTTTTTCCCTTTTTTTTTTTATTTGGGGATTTTTCAAAAAAAAAAAAATTCTTTTGGAGTAGGGTACGAATAAGTTTAACTGGAGTGTATCTCGTATGTCATTTATTGGGCGTTTCTTTGCCCCTTGTTTTGCTCATTTGTTTGCACCGAATATGTGTTTTTCTTTGTTGTTTGCTGTTTTTGTTTTATTCCCTTCAAGCATAGTATATATGTGCGTGTGTTTATTATGTAACTCCGAATGGATTGTGTTTCCATTGATGTGATACTTGCAATTGGGTCCTCTGTCTGCGGCATTGTTTCTGGTTTGCTATGGAAATGGTGAGGCTGAGTTGTGTTCATTCTAATGGGAGTATACACCGCCGTGAAGGGCAATATTGGTAACTGGGGAATCGCAATCAAACGACAGCAGAACAAGAAACACATTGGACAGCCCAATGGGGTGTGGAACAATAATGATGATGATGAAATGGGACAGTTATTTAAAGAAGAGGAAATAGAAGTATAGTGAACTGGATAATGGCTTTCCATATGCACATACATATACATATTTATTTATTCTGGCGCATTTGCATGTAATAGTATTTGATGCAACTGCAGTTGGTACTCTGCTTCCCTCCCCCTCCCACACATATATACGCACACATTATCTCCTCATTAGGATACTGAATTTCTCAGTTGTGTGTGTGACACCTTGTTTCATTCACCTGACAGATGTTGTGCATATGTACAGCCATGAATTCATTTCGTACACTATTACTCATCCGATTGCGGTTTGCAAGGACATTTTGTTTTGCCTTTCTGACGTCTGTGGCATTCTTGCAGATTGTGGTTCCAGGCTGGCTGGTAATCAGTGAGGGTTTGTTTAAACAATTTTAGGCCTGTTACTGCACTCTCTCGTTTGTTTTGTATCTCTGCTCTTTTTTTTCCTTTCATTGTGATTTGTTGTTGCAGAAGTGACGCTGCAATCAACAGAAAATCAAAAAATACAGTGAGAGAAAAAGGAATAGAAGAAAAAGAGAGAATGGAGTTTCGTTCAATTAGTGAGGAGAGTGACGTCACTGTTAAAGAACATAGACATGATGAAGCCATGCCTAGAGAGGGCCTAAAGTTAATGAATGTTGATCCACCTCCAGCAATGCAAACACCACTGTAGGGTGTGTGTCGACCAGGGTGAATATTTTACGTCACAGTCAAGAGAGAGTGTGTTACCGAGTGGGACTATATTCTCACAGTGGTAGTTAAACTGATCGACTTATTCCATTATTATTTTGAAAGCATAAACATTGTGGATTTCAATGAAAATAATGGGGTGGGTCTCTCTCTGTGTGTTGAAGGATTCGGTGTGGAATTGAAAAGAGCCTGCCCACCACAGCTATTGACATGGAAGACTGTGGGAAAGAGTTCTGCACAGAAAAAAAAATATAATAAATCTTCTTCTTGACTACTGGACCTCATCACACTCATCTCTGAGGAAAGGGTGAGTGGGGAATGTTTTGTATTTATGCAAACAAGTAGAGGTGATATTTCTGTGGCGAATTGCTTAGGAATGGCCTGGAGAAATCTTTTGGTGATCGTGCAGGGGTCATTTGGGAACCCACACAATGTGCACGGATTGGATCGCCTTGAATCAAGAGGTCCTTTTCTATTTCATAATGCCTCTTCTGCCAACCGATGAGTCATAGTGGTAAAGAAGATCACCCAATGTTTGCGTAATTCCCTTTTGGGATGGGCGTGTTTGCTTGAAATAAACTTTCACTCCAAAAAGAAGGGGCATTTCCATGATTTTAGCGAAGAAGAATGGCGCACCCCCAAAGCCTGTTGAGGGTTTGCGTTTTTCCTTTCCCATCTCTCTACAAACGGATGGGCATGGATCCAGATATACAACTATTGCTCTCTTTTCCCTTTTCGGGACTACAGAGTAATGCCCTAACCCATTTAACGTTGTGTCCACTCTACGGTGTGTGTGTGGGCATATTCTTTTCCACATTGCAATAGAAGCAACAATGCCGCTGCTCTACGATGGTGTAACTCCTTTGGTGTAGTTTGTATTTTTCACTTGGGTTGTGTTTTCTTGCACGCAGGGTGTGATGCAAAATAAAATAAAGTTTATGTTCCTCTTTTTGTGAATAGTCATTGTTGTTGTTCTTTTTTGCTTTACTGCACACTGGTGATGATGAGAGTAGTAGTATTGAGGCAACGCAGAGACGAAAGTGTGTGTTGTCTATTGCACTGTCGCCTCTCTTGCAGTGGTTTTCTCTAGTGCCTGAAGGGGAAAGGAGGGGAGATGGTGAACCCACCAAGAGACCCTTTGTTAGTGTTAACATTTTTCTGCATGATGGAAAGGGAATGGGATTGTTTCTTTGTTGCTTCTTTTGATACAGGACAGTAAAGAAAGCATTGTCAAAGAAAATCAACTGGACAACCCGTTGGAACGATGTGGATGAAATCAAAACAACAAAAGCGAATGAAACTGTGTTTGTGGGATGTATTGCAGTGTTGTTCCTCAGTGGAGAGTGGTGTTGCACGCATTCTGTGTCCACCCAAACATGAACATGTACTTGATATCTGCGTTGTGGTGAATAAAGGAGTCTTCTTCACTGCTGATTGAGTATTGATACTGGAGTG